ATAGTCCTTATGTGCAAGCATAAAGCTATGTGGACAGGCAGAGGCTAAACTTCTCATGAGTGGAATATTGCATGTGCATAGATAACTCTTCTTTTATACTGCCTGAGACATCTTGGGTCCAAATCTAAAGAAGACTGTATAACCATCTTAAACTGAAGCTAATAGAAATTCTGGCTGTTTCAAAAATGTTAAAAGAATTTCACCCTGTGTGTTTCATATGGAATACCTAAGATGGCTGTAATTGCAAGTTGCATTTTTTTTTGAGGGTGAGTAGCAAGAGGTTTAAAATAAACCTGTAACTTCTTGATAGCAGCTTCAGACAAATCTCCAGAAAAGCAAAAAAGAAACCTGAAGAATGATGGAATAAGTTATCTTGTGCAGTTCTTATGAACAGGCCTAGTCCAGGCACATCATCTATGCTATCTGTAGAATAGCAGGTGAGTGAAGAATTCAAACAACAAAGTAGCATTTAACCTGAAGCCTAGTAGGCCAGCAGCCAGAGGGAATAATCATCACACAGACAGAACAGCAGGCATGCTGCCCAGGCATCCACTCCCATTAAGGAGACTCACAGGCAGAGTGCTTTCCTTCTGTGTTTGTTACACCTCAGGCTTGTAGCACAAGATTCAAGACAGAGAGATTTCTCAGTCTTCCTCACCTTCACTGAGACTTTCTATAATCATGAAGTTGCTTGCTCCTGCTTTGACTTAAGAGGATGTTTGCTGGTCACTTCATTAAGGTATGGCAGCATTCTGCCTACTTTTAGAGTAAAAGCTGAGTGACCCTGACAGTGTAGCCAACAAAGGGCAATATTTACATGACCAAGACAGGAATCCCCAAAATCTGGTAACTTCCCAGTGGATAAATACAACCTTATGTGAAGGGCTTGCCCTCTATCCCATCTTCTTCCTCTTCTTAACCCCATCCCAATCACTAGAAACAAAGTTCCATTCTTAGTCAAGAAGGAAAATCTTGTATTCATTGCAATTCTACATAGATACTGTCCTTAAACTGCATGTTTCTCAGAAACTAGTTGTTCAAGACAAAATAAAATGGAAGTGAATATCTCTGCACAAATCTTTGTCAGCATTGTATTGTCAGCTCAAATTATGGACTGTTCCTTTTTACAACAATAGTACAATTCAACCATAGTTTGATGTTTTCCCAGATTTTACAGTGAGTTTTGACCTGTGATACATAAAAGTACGTGATTATAGCAATCATGCTTGGAGAGCAGCTACAATTTTCTCTGTTTACTCCAGAGTGTTGCAGAGAACTTACTATAAATGCTTAAAATCTATAGTTAAATATTTGCAAGTTAGGAGCTATACCTTCGAAAATTACTGAGAGTTTGAAGCAAGTCACTGGGGTTGCTCCTTTGAAGTTAGCAGGCCCTCTCTTGTAAGAGGAAGCAGTTCAGTAACAGCTTATTGCACTGTGCATTTAAGTATCTTCTTTGAAGGGTAGACTTGGGAGTATCATACTACCAATTCAAAGACACAGGGATAAGTAAGATCTAGTTATATTTAATGCCAAGTACTGCTAGAATTCAGGCAGAAAATTGGCACTATACAATAGATAAAATTATTTTTCTCTTTCTGGAGTTGTAGAAATTACATAGGCCATCTCAGACACTATCCAGGGAACAGAACAGCGTATTAAAATTTTGGGGGGGTAAGACAGGGTACTTTGGCTCTCCTTCATAAAAGTATGTGTCTTGTTACTCTTCCCTCATGCAGATAGCAGTAAAAAAGCACTATCTCTGCTTTTCAATAGCACATGCTGATTTTTAACTACAGCATTTTTGTACAGATTGTGCTTATAAGGATTTTTTAATATTTTTAAAAAACCCAACCCCAAACTCAATGCATTGCTGTATAGTGCAATCATAACAGTGGCTCTAATGTTAAAAAATATTTCCAGGTCAGTGTTTTGTGCAAGTCTTTTTGAAAAACAGACTTTTACTTAAGTGTAATGGAAACATTTCCATTACTTCAGCAGTCTACTATAGAAGTTAAACATTTCCACAAAGAGATTGCAACTTGAGATTTACTGTACTGTGCTGAATGCATGATAACTGGACACAGAAAGTTGCAGTGGATCCTACATCAAAAAAATATTGATTGTTTATTGCCCAAGCTGACACGTAATTAGTATAAATGTTCTATTTGCAATAGCCTTTAGCGTAAACAACGTCAGGGTAACAGAAGTGTCCTTTTTAAAATATTTTGGGAAGACCAGATCTATTAAAAGCATGCTGCAATAGCTTCAGTAGCACAAAGCAGTTTTGTCTTTGCCCTAACTGTCCAGGTAAAAATACAAATCTGGCAGCAAGCACAGAGTCTTGGTTTAGAAATTATGGCAATGTAGGGGTGTGGTCAGAGCATGCTGTGTAGCTCTTCTGATATTTTCGTGGGTTCTCAGGGGCTCTTGCAGGCAGCAGCAACTGAAAATACACAACTGAAAGTCTACAGTGCCCTTCTGGTTAAGACTCTTTCATTCCTACCCAAAAATGAGAACCTATTTTGAGGTTTAACAGTGTCCTGGTATTAAGACTCTTTCATTCCCACCCAAAAATAAGAACCTATTTTGAGGTTTAACAGTGTCCTTTTAAATTAGAAGCAAACTGCCACGGTGAGATATTCAGAGTTAGGCAGTGTGTGCTATGGTTACCATCACTAAACAGAGCTAGAGCTGTTAAGATCAAAATGGTTGACTTGTCACTCTATAGTAATTGTTCCCCATGGAAAAAATTCAATAGCATAGCTTAAGTCACACATAGCGGATCACATGCTCTGAGGCTTTTGTGGTGCTGAGACTAAAACCAGAGGTAGGGAGAAGCTCTGTCAGGAAATATTTTAATTCTACTGGCAGGGAGGTGAAGCTTGCCTTGCATACAGTCATATGCACAAATTGATTTTTAATTTTACAGTAATGTGCTATTATGATTTTTAACTTGATTTCTAAAAGTCTGCTTTTAAGGGCCTGATGTTATGCCCCTGCATGTCCAAGGGGCCCACTGGAAGGAGAGTTTTTGGATGTGCAATGACTGTGAGATAGCATCCAATCTGTTCAACTTATTTTTTTTAAAGTAAAGCACAAAACCTGTTAAACTGAACCCTATATAAAATGAATGCATCCTATCCTGGAAATGAATTACATACATGAACCTTAAAATAATTAGTACAAAACAAAAAAAGGCAAGTCAATGAAATACAAGAAGTACTAAGTTTCTATCCGGACTGGAGAATCTTTAATGACATGGGAACTGATGCAAGTCCCATCAACTTGCTTTTAAACATCTGTATTGCTGATCCCAGCAGTTGTCTTTCTGACTTTTTCTGGTTTAATACATGATACAGTAACATGGGGAGCAGGAGATGCCTTATGCACAAAGAAATTCTTTCTTGATACAGGGCAGAAATGAAGTGTTAAGAGTATGCTGATTAGACTGCAGTTGGGTTTCTAAAGGAAGCAGTTATTTAATCTTAGTTTGGCTCTTCATTTTATTGTAGAAATCAGCATAGAAACTGTGCAAGTTTCTGGACTGGCTGCATACAGTCTCCTAGGTTAAACTTCTCTTACTGTCTACACCTGAGAAAAGTGCTGAGTTTCCATTTTGCCAGCCTTCCCCTTCCCATGCCACTCTGAGAAATTGTAAGTTGACATGTATTATCAATACCAAAAAAAAAAACAAACAAAAAAAAAAAAGTACAGCTGCAGCCTTCTCTTTCTAGGGTAAAACGTACGGTCTTTCAATAGCTGAGTACTCACCAGTCCTTTGACAACAGAAACTACTACACGTACAAGCAGTAAAGAACGCTTGCTGCTTGATTATGCATGTTTAATATGCTTGCTAATTCCCTATTCATCACCCAGCACTAAGAGGAAGCCTGAAGCATCAGGCATAGCAGCACAATGCTTTGCTGTAAATGACTTCATGTAGGATGTAACTTGTCATTTGGCCTTAAATACAGTGGAATTTTTTCCTCCCTTTTCTGACACCTATGCACCGAAACAGTGTGTACGCCAGTCTGTCTCTAACGCTCTGCTGCTTGCCCTAGCTCTTTGGTGGGACTAGTAATCCACACAGAAATAAGTAAAAAATTACTGCTGTGCATTAAAATTTATACAAGGACTACAGCTAAGGAGAGTGCTCAAGGAAACCATTTTGCAGTCTGGACTAGAGCACTACCTTACCTGTATGGCAAGCCCTGCCTTTATCTTTTGCATTGCTGAACCATGAGAATAGGAACGTGATTCCAAGAGCAAATTAATATATTTAGGTGGGTTTCTTTTTCCCTACGTATAACTAAGCACGGATATTTGTAGTTCATCAGCCGTCCCTCCCTTCTCCTCTCTTCCCTTCCCCACCCCCCGGAAATTAAAATAACGAAACTACTTAAAGAGCATATGCACTGCACCGCTTTGTTCCCCGTGGTCCACCCCGCGGTGCCCGCTCCCCGCCACACACCGCGCGCCTCCCACAGCCTCCGGCTCTCGGGCCGGCAAAAGCCCCTGGAGCCGGGCCCCGCCGGCAGCAAGGAGCGGCGGGGGGTGCAATGCGGCTGGGCGGGGAGGGAGAGGCTTTACCTGCCGCGTTCCCCCGCGGAGCCAGGGGCGCCTGGAGCTGCTGCATCCACGCCGGGGCGCGGCGGGCGGGCGCTCAGAGCGCCTGGCTGAAGGATTGCTTGTAGAATCCTGTCTCTTCAGGTTGTATGTATGCCCCTGCTATTGCTGCTTGAGACCCTGATGTCCAACCATCACCTTCATCTAGAAGGATTTTTAGCAACTGTACTGCAAGCTTGCAAGCAATATGCTAGAAAGCTGGGAAAACCAAATTAAACTATGCAATATGCTTTATTTGTTATGTTAGCAAAACCTTTCTTTGTGTGGTCTTCGTCCCTATGTGGTTTATTCTAAACTAGTGATGCAGGTTTACTGCTTCTTTTTTGACGTGGGTAGATGTTACAGTGACTTCTCCTCCCCTTTCTGACGCCTGCTTGGATAACTGTTAAATGTAACAGGTTTCCTTGATAGCAACTGGACTACGCAGCCATGTCCTGATGAGCCAGGTCACTTCTGCAGCTATCCTAACGAGGTGAGCAGTTGACACTGACTCTCATATTACATGTTGCATAGTGATTCTTGGATTTAAAGTACTGTCAGATTTGTGTTTTAAAGGATGCCTGCTCTGCTACTACATTATATGCCACCAGCATGTTTACTCACATTTGATCACAGTGTAAGTAAAGTCTGTGGAATACATACAGCTGTTTGATAATTATTCTAATCTTTGCTACGTGATGACTATTGAATTACTTCCTGAAGTACCTTTCCCAGTGTTTTCACAAGATTCACTTAGATCAGAATTACATATTCTCAGTTCCCTACCTGAACTTTTCAGCATTATATAGTTGTAGCAAACCATAGCAAATAAGTTTAAAACAGTATTTACTTTATTGCAACTTTTATTTGACTGAAGCAAATTGTAAGTGTGGAAAGTATTTCTGGAACTATAAGGCAAATGCTTCACTTTGAATAATGACTCTTGAGATTATTAAAGATGAGTTCTTGGTGTAGTACAGAACAACTAATGGAAAACGATTTCTTCTTTTTTGTCATTTCCTTCACATTCAAGTAACAGCAGAACGTAATTCCTTAAAGCTGGGGCTTTGGTGTGCTATTTGAGCTCCCTCTCCAGGAGCCGTATGCTGTATCTGAGACAGTAGGAAACTTGCAGTGATAAAGAGCCTAGCCGAGGTAAACAGTAGAGGAAAACCTTCGGTAGTATATGCAGCTGTAGGGCACTCCCAAATTATTACAAGGCCATAAATAAGCAAACCTTTTGGGGCCAATGTGGAGGAGAGCCACTACAACTCCCTGCTCGTTACTTGTTGTCTTCTCATCCATTAATCTTAATGAAGCCAAGCGTGTTCTTATGATAGCTGAAGGGGTCCTGCAAAAGCAGTAATCATTTTCTGCTTTTCAAAGCAGAAAAATTGAAGTAGAGACACATCCAAAATACTTTCAGGATAGTTGTGAATAATCTAAATATATTAATTCAAACACAGTTCAGATTACTACTACTACTCTCCTCCTCCCTTTCATTTCCCCAGTTCTGAACTATAACTTTTTGGGCACCAAAAAAGAACAAACATCACTTTGCTTTCAAATTCACATATCAATTGCTGAGTACTACCTCTAAAACTGGAGTTAGGGCTGCCTAAGTTGTTACAGTTACACATGGTTTCAAACAGAAGTAAAAGTGGAATATATTTATCAAATCAAATATGAAAAGTTCTTTAAGATTTTACACAGACGGTCATCAGGCATTCAAGTACAGCTGAAAGACTGAATTCATGAATCCTCATTTCTGCTAACAGCAGCTGTAGTGTGCTGTTGTCAGCAGCAACCACTCTCCTTACCCTGCAGACAGTGGCTCCCATTTTCCTGCACACGTAAAACAGATTCAGGGAAACCCAGATAGAAAATTAAATTTCTTCCCCATTTCAGTGAAATTCCTGTGTTTATCTCAGCAGCTCATCTATCTTATAAAGAAAAGCAAGAAAAGATTACTGATGTTATTTTTACAGATACCTCAATGTGTTGCTTTTTTTCAGTTTGTTGTACATCCAAATTTTTATTGATGGGCTTAGTAAACACCATACTGAAGGATCACTGATCATTCTGTCTAAGGATTGCCCAATTATGCCTCCAAAGGTTTTCTCTTATTAAGTGAAAGAACAGCAGATGTCGTGATTCATCCTTACAACCTCCATTTTTTCATCCTTGGTAAATTATAACTATACAGGGTCAACGCTTTCTTTGCCTTGCAAAGAAATAAACTAACCAATTAAAATAAAGGAAGAAGAATTTCTGTCTAGTTTATAACAGAATAGACAAGCAGAGATTGTGCCACACAGTGTAGCTAAAATAAATGGCACAGCTGTATACAGTAAGAGCCTCATATAATTTAAAGGATATATAAAAGAATAAATTCAAGGTATTTACTCAAAGATGCAACAAACATTCTAAAAAAATCCTTTTTACAGACAATCTTGATCTGGCCTTAAGTAGTAACTATCTAAATATGTTTATGAAATTTAGATCTTCAGTTCACATAGAGGGTGTGGAAAACTGATTTAAGATGTCCTGCATAACTCTTTCATGATACTGCCATTTGAAATGAAATGTTTTATCAGTAAGAGATGCCATGGCACAGTAGTCTGTGCATGTATAATAGTTGTAATGGTTTGTTTATCACTGTTCAAGCATAGATACCAAATACACATAAAAAATAAGATGAACTGAGAAAGCAGTTGTCTTTAGAATACCAGTTAACAAACCAGGAGCAAAAAAGCATGAAATAGTTGTAGATGTGCAAGATTTCAGAGTTATGAAAGGGGAAATGTCAGACCATAATGCTGAAAGGCATTAATTAGACAGTCCAACCTTTTCTGGTAATTCTCAGAAATTTGAGGAGTCCAAGGAGATGATCAAGTTGGCTTCACAGAAGGTGACTACAGCTGTCGTGTCAGCAGAAATGAAATGGAGCACATGCAGTCCCTCTAATTGTGCTGTATTGTTGGAAAGCAGTCAGGTAAGGGAATTAACGTAGAGAATGAAAGAAGCAGAGAAAGGAAGGTATTGTGAAGACTAAGACAATGGGGTAGGTATTGGAATTATTGCCTGCAAGTTCTGTCACTGCTATGAAAAGATATTTTCAAGTTATAATATGATTTAACTGTATACTCTCATTTATTAGTATCCACAGTGGGAAATTAATTTTTCCAGTCTTAACTTTATGCCATGGCTTCTGACATCTTCATTGTGGAGCCTGCATGAAGAGTGAATAACTTGAGTCAGGAATATTTTTACATAAAGAGCAGCTGCCTTATGATGAACAAGACATAGACTTTTCTCTCTTATAAAAGAGAGGATTGATGCTACTAACTGTCCTGCTGTCAGCAAGGAGGGGTAAGGGGTGTCATAAGGACTAAACTACATCTGAAGCTATTGGGCGGTAAAAGTTAATCAAGAGAATAAAGTTGGGTTAGTTTTCCATTAATACTGTTGTACTGATAAAGAAAAATATTTTACTGGTAATGCCCCCAAAAAGCAAGTTTACTTAATCTTCTGCTGCACCTTTAGTTTAACTTCTGCAGTGGAGTGACATTTCAAGTCTCAATTTCCAAAAGGCAGGCAAATATGGCATGGCCCCATAATTAAGTTGGGTAAAAGGTATGTTCTAATTGAACACCAAATCCTTAAAAATAAAAATATTATTTAATTCAGTTTTCTAAATACACAAAATAATGCTCATAAAACCTGGCTTTCAGCATTACTTGGATTTGCATGACAAGAGAGTAGCAGTTGCTTCTAACTTCAGCTTGCCTTCAAGATCTGAAGGCCTGTAGTGTAAAAAACCATTATTGCAGCCTTATAAAATTGATTTTAAATCACTTATTGGACCATACAACTGGAAGGCAAATTACCGTAGATTAAGACATGAAGATATCTAGTACCTGACAGTTATTATTCTCATTTGGTATTTATGGTACATGAAGTTAGCTTGAGGCTGCCCATAATTTATGGAGGTAATTTTTTATTGGTATGGATGAGAATTGTCTTTCTTTAGCAGGGAATTTGACCATGACAGGTTATTTCTATTGCAGTGTAAGGGGAAAAAAAACCCTCTCAGTGTTAGTGCATGCAGCCCAGGAAAGGCCACCATCATAAACTTCATCTGAATCACTGTTTGAATCACTTCTATGCTCTTAACTACAAGGGGTTTTTTTATCAAAAAGCAGTATATTGTTGAAATGTTTCATTAATATAAATTGCAGTCGAATCAACTATACAGAGCAGATTGTATTTAGAAAATGTTGAGTTAAAAATAGCATCATTAAAGCAACTTCCTTGTACTTTTTTTCTCTCAATATTCCGCTCAACTCTCATAGTTTATATTCAAGACAACAATATCACACTTAAGTTAGTTAGATACCTAGTGCTAAAAAATTTACTAAGTTCAAAATCATAAGAGATTTTGTTACCTCTTAGGAGTTGACCAGAGTGGGTGATTTATCCAGTATCTTGATGATATCTTTAGGGAACAAGGTGTTTTGGGGTTTGTAGGTAGGCTGTTTTTTTCCTCATCAGCATTGGAAAGCAGTTTGAAATTATTTTTTTTTCCTCTTTCTCTCTTAACTTTTATTTCTCTTACTTGTTCATTAGAAATCTAAGCCATCTTGGTTTGAAGTCCAACTGACAAATGTCTTCAGATCTTTCTAAATCTTAGTGGAAAAAACAGGTAAAAAAAAGGATTAAAATTAGAGAGTAACTACAGGAAAACACGTAAATTGAGGGATGTAATCCATTATCGTGTTTCTTGGTAAAGTGTACAAAAGACAGTGAAGCAGGACTCAAATGTTTCTTTTCAGCTTCAGATCTTCTTGTTGCTCAGTAAATTGAACAATTATGGTGGGATCTGTCAATTTTTAAGCAGGGTACTTACCCAGACCAGTAGACTATGCTTCAGATTTCTGAAAGAATGGGTATCCTTTTTCAAGTCTCATTGGCTAGGATAATTGTAGCATCCAAGTGAGCAACAGAAGATGAAGGTAGCTATTAGCCTTGTCCTAATAATCATAAACAGCAGGGCATCTCATGCTCTTGTCCTGTGAGTGTTTTAATGAAGTGTAATAGATACTACACACCTGGTTTCACTGGATAAATAAAAATGGCTCCAATTCTTGAACTTGATCTCCTGTTCAGAGCTGTACATTCATCTGTATTCCATCTTGTTCACTATCCATCCTTGGGAATGCAGACAGATTCCTTCATTACTGGATTTATATAATATATAAAGGTTCCCAGTACAGAGGCCCATTCCCCTTTATTTAAAAAAACAAACCAAAACAAACCAGAATCAGCACATGCCCAGTGCATGAAACACTCTTACAGCTCAGTCACTAAATGTAAGGATTTTTCTGATTAGTTCTTTGTACTTTTGAGTGATTACTAGTTTATGTTAATCTTTTTTAAATGCTTGTCCTTCCTTTTTTGGGCTTGCCATTTAATCAGAATTGAAATTAATAT